TAAAAATCGATTTCTAAGCCAAACTACCAATCGAGCTTTTGTATGGAGACCCACCGCTGAGACACTTATTATATGAGATCGGTCACCGGTGTGTTGTGGCACACATTGTGGGAAATGAACCTCACTCAAACCAGAAAATAACTTTGAGATAGGGGCGATATCACTTGTAAGAGTCAGGCAGTCCTCCCTTCTGTTCCTTCCTGAACCCTTGGGGGTCATTCACAAGGTCTCAAGGGTTTCCCGCCTATTTACGTAGGATATTCTCAGGGATTGCGATTTTCCTTCTACGTGGCGCGAAGATGTAGAGGATTTTACTAGCGTACACAAACATTTGTCGCACCTATCTGCCTTCTCTTGTAGGTTCTTTTGAAAGTTCAATATGCGTAAGATCTGATTTTCCACATAACTTATTCATCATCCTTTTGCGAACGGCAGCATAATTGATATTGCCAGTGGCGCGCGATTTTTGTTCTTTACCAAAGATTTTTTTCTTTGTTTCGAAAAGTACTTCAGATTCTTTGTACGAGTCTGATAGAACATGATTCTCTCTATAAGTCTGTATACGTTTTGTGCATATATACCTGCTATTTGCAAAGAAAAACTTTGAATGTGAAATGTAATTTCATTTTCGCGCTCATAGAGCGCTATATAAAAATCTTTTCAAGAATCAATATGTGCTTCAACTTTGACGAGATTTGAGCTATCGATTGAGCTTAGTGTTTCAATAAAAAGCGATGCACAAACTTTTGCTGAGAAAATAAGGCAAACTGAGTATGAAATATAGCTTTCTTTTTGCTCCTACAGCGTACTACCAAGACCTTCTTGAGAACCAAGCGAAGTAACGAAATCGTTGAGATTTGAGCTTTCGATTGATTACTTAAATTCCAGACAAAAAGCTTTGTTTAGCGAGAAGGACCCTTAGAATTTGAGGGCCAAAATGATCCACAGACGGTGATATAGTGATAACATTATCAACAATAACATGATATTTAATAATGACATTATAACAACAGCAACGACAGTATAACAGTATGACTCAATTACATTGTAACAATAGTAAAGGCATTGTTTAATATATAATATAATTTATATTCAGCTATATGATATTACATTTTGCATTACCTACACTATGAAATAAAATGTATATAGTAACTTGGGTTTTTTGCAGATTGAAGGTGAGCTACCCGCAAAAGGTCAAAATGTTTTCATATCTGGCCTTTAACATTGCTTTAGATCGAACAGGATTGAGTCCAAGACGAAAGAGAAGCACCAGAAGTATTTCGATCGCTACTGCCAGACAATCTCTTCTGGGGTGCCAAATGGACTAAATACATTTGTTTTTTCTGAAATTATCAATTCCCATGAGAATCCTCATGTCACCCATATCAACTCGTCTCTTTCATGGTGAATTCCGAAATCTCTTTTACATTTAGTTCGCAGAAATGTGTTCATTTTTTGTGTATGCAACCTTAAGCTGTCGATCTACACATCTTGCTGGACGTCGTCGAAGGCTTAGAGTTATCTTGAAACCATACAGAATTTAACAACACGGCGCTGGCATCGTTGCGACCTTCCTCGTCATCATTTCATCCACTTTTTGTAGAATCTTTAACAGTAATTCTCTATTCGATTCAGTGACGTCATCATCTTTTTACTCTCGATGAATATGCGATTGAGAATGAAGCGCAGTTCTCCTTCCCTCTATACATGATTCAAGCTCATAAAAAATTCAATTGTTGGCTAATAATTGATTATTATTGCATTTCCAAATGCCCTTAAATGCTGTGGTATAGGGGTAGTAGAAGAACATCTCAAAAATTAGATTATACTCTGCGTATTGTTAAATCAATGATCATATTTAGACTGGGGCTCAGCGGTCGTTCAGCTTTTTCCGTATTTCCAAAATCATGAGTAAATGCAATGAAACATGTTTAAAACACTATGTAATAAAGAAATATAGAATTCATCAACCTTCCTAGAGGTTTACCGCCTCCTCTTTGTGGCTGGGAGTGGTTCCTGGGTGTCGGGCCGCCAAGTTCAGCGAGGAACTCAACCCAGTATGGCCACCCAAGCTGAGAAGGAGTCCGATGTTCCCTTTCGGAAATCCCAGATAAGAGTAATACCGTTCCAGGAATGACCACCGTCTTGGTAGATATTAGTCGCAAAGTGGTAATCTGCGACTGATCCCCACAGGCCGGCGACTGCTCTAATGTGGTGACAATCTGAGGAAGCCCCGGTTAGGCTTACCTCGGGACTCAGGAGAAAAAAAACTGCTAAGCCAGCACATTATCCCTGTGCTGAGGCTAGCATAATCAGTGATGATGGGCCGTTTAAATATCAGGTATGAAGTAAGTATGAGGTCAGCAGCCAAATCTATAGAAAAGACGAGATTGTAAGTGCTTAAATACTGGCGGATCGTCCTTCTGGCGACATCACGGACTTTATGCATTTGATTCAATGCAGGGAGGGGGGTGGCCTCGAATACGGCAAATTATCTGCTGTACCCAAAATTAAGTTACCACAACTGTTCAGTCGTGTTATCATTGATGGGTATACTTTGTTTCTTGCTCTAAGCACTCCTCTTCTGCCAGTAAACAAGTAAACTCCCCGTATCCATCCTCAGTATTATACTTAGTATTTAATACCGTATATTTCATATTCAGCGAACACAAAGTTGTTTGAACAACCTCGTGTTCGCAGAATAGGAATTTACGGAACTATTCAATCACTGTCGGACATACTCGATAGTCGCTTATGGGAAATCACCATTTGATCTCCTTTTCATTCTAGGAAAAAGACTTTAGAATTTTTAGTTCTGATTTGATCACCGTTTATAAGCGTATTCACCGTGAACATCTCTTACTTACTTTCTCGTATACTTGAAACGTTCGTTCTCACGAATTCTGTGGGCCCTAACACATGAAGATGTGCTGGTTTAGCTGTTCTGTTCCCCGGAGTTTTTCGAGATAAGCTTAGCCAGGACTTCCTCAGGTCCTCACCACATTGGAGCAGTCGTCAGCCCTTGTGGATCAGTGGGGATTACCACTTTGCGATTAGTGGCTATCAAGACGGCGGTCATTTCTAATACGACTTAGTCTTAGCTGGGCTATCCCGAATAGAAACATCGAACTACTTCTTAGCCTGTACCTTTGTAGCTTGCACTGGGTAACTTTGCCGGCGGGTTGGACTCCCCGTTGTAGTTCGCAGTCCTATACTCGTGAACACCTCCCAGCTACGATGAGGCGGTAGACCATCTGGGATCGAACAACTCTCGTTGCAGTGTATATCCCTCAAAGCTCCACATGGAAAGCATTTAGACTTCTTCGAGCGATAACAACATAAAAATAGATGTCGAAAACATTCTAAGGAGTGATTTTTTTACCAGAGCTATCAACCTTGACATAGAAACGATAATTCAGTGATCTTTAAGAATGAGCAGGTATGAGGCCTTCAGTGTTAGGATCTATTCAGTACCATTTACTGAAATAAAGTAATAAATGACGTTTCGACTGTATCGCCTTTTTCAGAGCCTAAGATCAAATTGACTGGCAGTCTAGTGGATTTTTCCATTTAAATTTTTGACACTTCCAAAATTGCTACCAATGTTGTGTGTTAAGTTTTCCTTCTTTTCTAAGCGTACTTCTACTAATGTAGTTGATTAAATCCATTAATATGTTTATTTTTGCTCTCAACAACTGGTTGGACATGACATCATTGTTAAACAAAGCAATAACTTTTTTTTTGGTTTGAATGATTTATTTTGTTTAGAGGTTTTTCAGTCGCGGTAATCATGACGACGATATATAAACTCCTATAGAAATTTTATTCTCTAATATATTCTTCATGGGTTTCTTTTGAACGTCACCAGTCCAGCCATGAATTATCGTCGTGTTCGCTTAGCTATACAAGTCCTGTTGATATATGATCAGTATCTATCGATGATCCCAAATCACTTGGTCACGGGACCTATATCACCCTTACTTAGAGGTCCATCTACCTCCTGATATAGTCAGTACCTGACCGAGACGCAGTTGGATTATATGGCGACGCCATTTACATCTCCTTTTATTAAGACGGTCATACTACGTCATAAAAGGATAAAAAGAATGAAACTCAGCGTTAATCAAGCCCTTAAGGACCTGCCAAGCAATTTTCTTTATCAAGCATAATTTGAGGTGGCCTTGAATGCATATCTGGCCTTTACAATGGCTCTCGATGGCTTACCGATAGATCGGCCTCATGTGGCTATTCTATTGGACAGATCTTGTACCAAATCGCTTACCCTAGGGAGTAGACGGAAAACTTAGTGAGCTTTGAGCGTGGGATTCAGTCATCAACCACGTGCTCGTCTCAGAACACCTTTAACCTTTTTGACAACGACGTTGAAAGATTGCGCAGCACCACGATGTAACATTGTGATAGTGAGCTAATAACAACTCACATCGTTGTCAAGCGGTTAACCACTGCGCCACACGCGCCTTTGTGTTACCCTACAGCTTTCGTAGATCTGTGTGATTGCACTAAACAGTAATGCCAATTTTTCAGCTGGGGAGTAGTTTTTCTTCGTATTTTATCTTTAGGGCCTTGAAATTTCCAATTCGACTCGCTATAGATGGTTTCATAGATATAGGTTTCCTAAAGTGCATCTGATATGAGTGGGTCTTTTTTCTCTGTCTTTTCATCCAAAGAATTTATCCAAAAAATTGTTGCTTTGTCGAAGTATCACATTGGAATATCAATATTTAGCTATCTTCATCTACTATCTTCTGCCTCTGCTTGGATTTTCTCGAGCATTTCGTCACTCAATAGTCGTTTTTGTTCTCAAAGAAGAGGTTATTTTGTAACAGTTTATGTTTTCCAAGCTATAAAAGTTCAAATTCGAAAGATGTTGCGGATTTTTATTCAATTATTAATAAATAGAGAAGTCGTTATTTTTACTACCTTTACACAGGGCATAATGTAACAAATACATCTAAAAATGTTAAATAGTATGCAAAACATTCGACCTCAGGCGGGAGTTGAACTCGCGTTCAACATGTACCGGAGACGTGCGCTACCACTGCACCACTAAAGATTTGTAGTACTTATATGTTAGACGGGGACAAATTTATGAAGCGATCTATTCGCTCAACAGAAGCTTTTCGTCAAAGTGTAGTAATCATTTGATGAATCTCTGGTTAGAGCCCTGCGTGGTCGGTTTTTCGAAACACCCTTTTATTACGCTGTAAAATTCAGGAATAAAATTATGTTATGCACGATCACGTGTTTTTTTTTTTGGTAATCTCGCGTATATTTGCTGGAAAGAACTCCTTCCCTAGAGTGCTAGTACTTATTCGCTATCACAAGTTTCGAAGAACTCGAAAACGTGTTTGATTTTTAGGAAAATCTTTTGATGGGGATTTTTCACGACATCGAGAGAAACTTTAGATAAAACGTATGCTTTTGATGTACGGAAAATTCTGTAAACGCTGATATGCCTTTCGTGCTTCCACCAAATTATACTCGTAAAAATGAAGGCGAAAAGCGAGTGAGAAACAAAATTTTATTCTGGATGCTACAGCGTTATAAAAGGATCTTTTTGAAAACCTTTGACGTGGGGCTGTAGCCAGAGCTTTAAGCTTTCGAATAAGGACTAATACTCCTATTAAAGATCCTGTCCAGCGAATGAAATTGGTTTATGAATTTGTCGCCGTCTAATATATAAGTTCCAGATTTCCTTATTGTTATGCTTCAAAACACTGATATGGCATTAGAAATATATCTAGTATACATAAAATCTTCAAAAGAGCAGTTGTTTTGAGGAAAGTACCAAGAAGAAAAAATGCTGCTTGATGTGAACTCGTGTCGAGTATACTTCAAAACAGTGATAGCCTTGAGAAAACGTCAAAAAACGCAAACACTGAAAACGAACTCCATCTGTTTTCCCATGTTTTTTCTAGTAGTATTCTTTTTCCTTCACATCTCATCATCGTCGTTCGCGAGAAATCTTTTTCTTCTACATCTCATCATCGTCATTCACGAGTTCACGAGAAATCTATCTATCATCTATTGAAAGGCGGAAATGAGAGGTTTTTTTTCTCCATAGAAAAGTCTCATATAAAGTTCATGTTATCTATAAAACTTCTAGAGTAAATAGAACTTTTTTGACCTTCTCGATTTCTTTGTCTTTCTAGCAATCTAGAGATGAGCTTCATTAAGTCATCATCCAGATCTGACCTCAATTCTAGACTAATCCCCTCACTTTGCCTTTGATTTTTTATTTCTAATTAGCTTTAAGTTTTCGTCTCAGAGTGTGGTTTTCGTGTTCACAGAGTCTTTTAAAGATTTCTTGAACTGCATATGTTTGTAACACTTGAGACAATTCGTTGTCCATTGTTTTGATTCTATTGCTTTTTTTTTACGTCTACAGATGTATAATTGCTGATGATGTGATGAACTGCCGAATTATATGGAGTTTAAGAGAAAGAATGGTAGCAGAACAGGAGTCCTTATAGTGCAGTAGGTTGGCACGTGCCCCGGACAAGATGAGCTCCTGGTTCTATTCCTTCTTGAGGCTCAAATCTTTACATATCACTAAACATTATTGGGTTTATAGTCATAACATCATGCTATTGCTAGAGAAGCGGTTAAGTTAAAGGAATTCTTGTTGATTATATTTTTTAAAGTCCAATTAGTTCATCAACTGAGCCTAATCTTGTTGTTTTCCCTTCTAATCCGTCTAATTTCGACTCTCAAATATTCTCTTTTTGGCATTTTTTAGTCCGTCGTCGTCATTTGGTTAGTCGTCTATAATTCAAGTGATTACCATCAAAGTCTCCAATGACGGCTAACCATCGGAGCTGCTTTGCTGTAGATTATGCTTGCTGAACTTGAAATCGGCTACAATTTTCTTAGAGGCCAACTATTTCATTGCCTCTGACTGGAAGAGATCTCCCAATAGTTTTGTCGGGATCTTCAAAAGTAGTCGCAGATTTCTTTTGATATTAGCTGTTTCAGCTCGAGTGGATAGTAGCAAGGCAAAATGGATGAATTCCTTGCATCAAATATACCTAAGAGGATTGAGTGAAAGGCAAAAATTCGACCTAGATGAGAGTTGAACCAGCGTTTCATCCATACCGAAGAAAAATCCTAAAAAGACAAGAAATCTTGGAATTATTTAGGGAGAATGGCTGTCAGCTTTACTCGGGATATCGCCTACCCGACCAAACCTGATAATGTTTGGTGGCTGCCAGCTATGATAGAAAGATAGTGAAAAATTAGTGGTGATTAAGCGGTGGCCTTAGTGGTGTAGTGGTAGCACGTCTCCACGGCATAGATGAAACGCTGGTTCAGCTCCCGTCTGGGGTCGAATTTTTGGTTACCATTCAGTTCTCTTAGGTATATTTGAAACATCATAAAACTGCGAAAAAACAGTCAAAAAATAAGCAGTCTTAAGATTCATGATATCAGTTTTATTCGATAAAGGCAATCCTGGGTCGCATCCCCGTCTCTCTTTCAGCCATTCAAGAGTTTACGACTTTTGTGGAGAGTTGTGATCCCATCAGTTTTCAAAGGTATTTTGGACTGATTCCTTCAAAAAAGATATTATGAGAGCACGCCTGAACTTAGACTTAGGCTCAAAAAATTAATAGGACCACAACTCCTCATTAGTGCCGAGTTTTTGATTGAATTAATGTGCAAGTAGCAACGATATCAAATCTCGTCTGCGTAATTAAGATTATCTGAGCCTAGAGAGCAAAAGTCATGAAAACATCTCATTTATTGGGCTTAGAATTAGCGTGTAATCACTTTCTATCTCTATTTAGCCTTTTATCTGCCCAAGCGTTGCGGGATGTTGCCTGTGAATGTTTAATCAGTTCATCGTCTTCTATATGAAGTTGATTTGTAAGCACTATATAAGCTAATGAGTTTTATAGCGAGTGTCGTTTATCGTTAGACTGATTTTAGATAATGTATTACCGACTATATTCTCGTTCAGATATGGCTTTGGCCGTTCCCACTTCCATTGAGGTTGGGAGGTCACCATCAAGTTCTTCCGCGAGCTCAGTACCACCAGCTGAGGATAAATTGAGAATGGTTCGTTTCAATATTATTCCTTTAACCCCATATTCATTATAAATTCAGCGTGTACCGCTCATCATCCCATTGTCTCTACTTTTTCAGGTAAGCATAATCGGTGGGGAAACCATTTCATTTGACTGGAAGCCTGATGATCCTCAAAAAAATAGCGAATTAGTGTCGACTTTGTTTGAAGTGATTGGGTAAGTTTCTGTAAGCTTTTCACTTTCATAGTTTACTTATGAGTCAGACATTTCACTGAACTTTTGCGAAAGTGATTAAGTTTGATGATGCCTTTCAATCCCTGAGAATAATATTGGGTACTTCCAAAAGTTTTGGTATTGCTGCAACAAACACCAAATTTACCAACTAGTAGCAATCAAAATTGCATGGTTTTGATATCGTTCAACTGCACATTTTCTTGCGAGTACTTTGGTATACAACTTGCCTTTATTTCCTTTGAGATGGAGCTGTCTTGAGAACAAAGTCGCTTGCTACTTATGCACGTTTTGCGCGTACGGATAAATGCTAGCGGAGAGGAGCACAAGGTTAATGGAGCTTCCTGGGGACGGCCTGATCCTCCAGGCTGTTCTGTTCAGCTTTGAACTTCGCAAACTACTTTTTCGCCGTCATTTTTGCTAGCGCATCATTGCCCAAAACTCTACTAATGTTGCGTGCCGCTTCACTAGCTTTTTCCTCCCCTATACGCGCCATTATTCGTGCATGAAATAGCAAGCGAATTTGTTCCTATGACTGCACCATCTTGAAGCAAGGACAGGCAACTTATAGACAAATGATCTCAAGAAAATGCGCAATCAAGCGGAACCAAAATAATGTTTTCATAACAGTTTTTTTATTCATCTCCTTAAAAAATTTGGCAAAAAAGTTGCTCCAAAACTTATGGAACGACTTGATGCTGTTATGACATTTAACTTCGTTTAACATTCTCTTACATTTTTTTTTACAATCCATGGACCGAATGATTCTGAAAATTGTCTGATATTAGCTCTTCGATCTCGTTCCATCATTCCTAGCCCCATCCCGCTTATTACAAAAGCTCATCGAGGATACCGTCGAGTAGATCATTCTTAATTTTTGCCAGATTATGCATCAAACGCCTTCCTTGTGCTCTCCCGTCGATATTTCATCATTTGGATAGTGGATCAGCCAATTTCGATAACGTAGATAAAACGAATATCGATGAGGTACGAGCTGTTATAGAGGATTTCAACAAAGTGGCTGCACCTTATGCTAAGTTGGTGAGATTTTAGCTGCTTGATGTCTTTCTCTTGTTTGTTCTCTTTCCAAATGAAAGCTAGTTTCCAAAAAGTTGCAGTGGAAGGGTCAAACGAATCCAGCATTCGAATCTTGGAGTCAGGATAGAGCTGATGTTGACTTGCTCACTATCATCTGTAATCTTTCTTTCAACCGGCAAGTTTTTTTTACTCTGTGATGATATTCATCTACCACTACTAATGTTGAGTGGTGAGTAAAAACACGACCTCATACGGTGGTTGAACCCGTGTTCCACCCTTACATGGCGCTACGTGCTACCAGTACACCACCGAGGCTACCGCTTTGCCACCACTCTTTCTTCTGTGTTATTACTTTTGTTTGTTTACTCAGTAGTATCGTTTCAGGGCGGTTCCAAATCCTCAACGGCTTAACAGTCACTATGAACCCTTCAGTAGCGGGGTATTCTATTTTCTTCGGATTTTTTATGTAATATTTATGCTTCAATCAATCGATATTAATTGAAGGTATATGGTGAAACATCTTATGAACAAATGCAATCTATCATCGATCAAATAAGCTTTCGTGAACAGGACATCTTTCTAGATCTCGGTTGTGGAGTAGGGCAGTTAGTGATGTACGTCGCAGGGGGGACAAAGGTTTGGGCTTTCCTTGCCGTTCTTGACTTTTGAAAGCGATGTTGAAAGTTTCTCGATTCAGTTATACAGTTTAACAGTTTTGAGGTGAAAAAGTCCGTTGGTATTGAAATTAACGATTTACCAG